ACCTGTCATTATACCTCTCAGAAGTGGCCATTTGCCTGCCTGAAAACAATATTTTGGTCCTCAGGATGAGTAGAAAAAGCAGTTTATTCTAGTCCTATTTTAGACTAAAAGTGGTCCACCTTCAAAGACAACTCTGGAGGATGCCCAAACTCATGATGATACCAAGGGCTCCTGTTACCCATAGGCTGTGATGCTCCTTGTGTGGCCATCAGTTAGGGGCTCTACAATCCAAGCAGAGTGACATATAACTGTACAGATGCACAGGATTACCCACGTGTGGTCCCTTTCAAGAAAATCTTCCAAAAAAATCCCAATAAAAAATCCTAAAGAATAAAGAAAAAACCCATGTATTTGGTAAGTTGAAAATTAATAATAGCCATAATTAAACACTTTACCTGTATTCTCTCTACCTCCCCCATGATAGAGCACTGTAAGGACAAATGAAAGCATGTAAATCCACAGAGTTATATGAATCATCCAGAATGACTGAACTGACAGCTGGTAGGGCGGAAACAGTAAACCACAGCCATGGGACTAAAAAACCCAACCTCTTCCCTCCACGTTACACCTCTCTACCACCAACATGACCCTTGGGTGAATCATAAGCTCCAAATACCCTTAATTTGTTTTTGTTTTCTTTTTCTTTTTTTTTTTAATTTAAAACAACCAGAATTTGTTTTTTCTGTTATGAGTGGTGTTGGGAAAAATAGGAAAATGGTCAGGGCCCTTCAGATGTTCAGAATCTTGCTGAGCATTTGCTGTAAATATCCTCAGGTGTTCCTTGCTACTACTTAATGTAAGTTGTGTATGGGCATCCAGGTGTTCAGGGTTGTGGACTTAAGTATAAAAGACTAACAGCTCTGATCCACAGTGTTTCTCAGAACTCTCAGAGAAGCCACTAGGATAGTTGCTCCTAGATCTGAATAAAACCCATTCATTTTTCTATACCTACGGCTCCTAGAACCCTTTTTTTCTATTACTAGCTCACAGACCTGTGTGTGGAGGGTTTGTAACCCAATCTGTGCAACAGACTCGAGGGGTCTGTAAGCCCTAGCTTTACAGTTACACACCCACCAAAATAGCGAAAGAGAGAGAGAGAGAGAGAGAGAGAGAGAGACTCCAAACAATACCAAGTGTTTATGGGTTGGTGGAGTAACTGGAACTTCTTATTGGGAAAGTGAAATGATAACACCATATGGAAAATAGTTTAAACATTTCTTATGAAATTAAACATACTTAATATATAACCCATCAATTGCACTCCTAAGCATTTACCCAAGAGAAATGAAAATATAGGTCTGTACTAAGACTTGTACATAAATGTTCAGAGCAGCTTCAGTTACAAGTCCATCAAAATAGGTGAATAGACTATTAATCACCAATAAAAAGAAATGTGCTACTGATATAAACATCAACCTGGACAAATACTTAAAATATTGTGATGAGGGAAAGAAGCCAGACACAAAAGTAAATATACTATAATGTTTCAATTACATGAAACTATAGAAAAGTAAAACCTAAGCTATAGTGACAAGAAAGCAGATCAGTAGTCACCTGGAGCCAGGGGTGGGTTGAAGAGTAGGGGACATTGATTTGGAAGGCGCACAGGGGAACCTTTTGCGATAATGGAAAACTTCTATATCTCTACTGTGGTTGTGCTTACATGAGCCTAAACATTTTTCCAAAGTCATTGAGCAGTATACTTAAAATGAATTCCTTTGATTTTATGTAAAATAACACCTCAATAAATATGACTTAAAGTGAAAAAAAAATCATACTCCAGTGTGTTACAAACCAAAGGCTGACACACTAGACATCCTCGACTCAGTCTGTACTGACTTGATGTCTCACAAGAGACCCCAGCTTAACATGTGCAAACCTCCCCCAGGCCTGCTTCTCCTCCAGCATTCGATATTCATTCTCCACATTGCAGCTGGGTCCTACTTCAATTGAAACTTTTATTGAGATAATTGTAAATTTGCAGTTGTAATAAATAATACAAAGAGATCCTGTGAACCCTTTACCCAGTTTCCCCCAATGGTAACATTTTTGTAAAACTAGAGTATATTATCACAACCAGGATAATGACATTGATACAATCTGCCAATCTTATTCAGGTTTCCCCACTTTAATTTGCATACATATGGGTATGTGTGATACCCATGCTGGATTTTTTTTTTTTTAATTGTCTTACAGGTCCCTGGGGGCTTGCTATAAGGAACCCTGGTGGTTCCTTGAGCTTGGCATTGTAGGGCATGCAGATGTCAGTCTGCCACGGATTCTGACACCAAAGCACTTGCAGCCCTGCAAGGGAGCTCGGCACCTGTATTTATAAATAAACATCCTTGAGGTTTTCTCTGGGATGCAATTAAGTTACCTGGAGAGAGTTTGATCTCTTTGGTTTTCTTTAAGATTTGTTAGGTAGGACCAGAGCAGTGTTTTACTCTAGGGATAATTATTCCCTGCTATTGAAACTAGAGACTCTTCTGAGGATCCCATATAGGGATGGCCGGTTTGCTCACTGGCTGAGCGTGGTGCTTACAACACCAAGCCAAGGGTTGAGATCCCCTTACCGGTCATCTTTAAAAAAAAAAAAAAAGGAAAATATCAAAGAAAAAATACAAGAAAAAAATGATAGGGCCGAGCCCGTGGCGCACTCAGGAGAGTGCAGCGCTGGGAGCGCAGTAGCGCTCCTGCCGCGGGTTCGGATCCTATATGGGGATGGCCAGTCACCACTCACTAGCTGAGCGCGGTGTGGCTGGTCTCAAAAAAAGACAGATTCTCTGTATTGAGAAGGCTCCCCAAGTATGCAGCACAACAAATGAAAAAGACCCAGGCCAAGGTCACACTTTTGAGAAATTTCTTAACACATGTACAAATGTAAAAGTGATTATTAAATAACAAAGAAAACGATTTGCTCTCAATAGTTTTCAAGGTGACTTCACATAAAAGTGAGACAGTTTTTAAATGGGCTGAGGGGATCAGTGTCCTGTGTCACAGGCATGGAAACAGATACATACACTGAATAGAACACCTGCAGAATGACATTTTTTCAAACCTTTCACAGATGAGATAGCACAGCTCATTAATACTTAGGTGAGTTTGTGTGTGAACATGTATGTGTAAGAGGACAAACTATTTGGAATCCAAGTCCAGTTTCCTAAACTAAATGATTAGCTCTCAAAGATAAGAGCGCACAGCTTCTTATTCCTCGCTATCTCCCTATGTCAACTGATAACTGCTTTGTCTGTGTAGGTCTGTGTAGCCGATATGCCAACCATATCTGGACAAAGGAGATATATGGCATGACTTAGCAGGGATTTTTTTTTTTAAAAGATGACCGGTAAGGGGATCTTAACCCTTGACTTGGTGTTGTCAGCACCACGCTCAGCCAGTGAGCGAACCGGCCATCCCTATATGGGATCCGAACCCGTGGCCTTGGTGTTATCAGCACCACACTCTCCCGAGTAAGCCACAGGCCGGCCCCAGCAGGGATTTTTTTTTTTGCTAACTTATTCCCTCAATACCTTTGAGGTGCAGTAAATACAGTCACCTTTTCTCATTGTGAGCAATGTTTTAAATCTTCATGATCTCCAGACTCCTACTGGACCTGGGAACCCTCTTCCAATTTTCTTCCAAAACTGTTACTATAGAATTCTGTCAATAAACAAGATAGAATCAATTAGATGAATCAATTACATCAATGAGAGGAGGTATTCAGTGTCTATTTCCATAATGCCATGCAGAGCCAGGTAGGAGAAATTGACCCTAGTGAAACTGAGTGGTCATTCTCTTCACCAGATCTTCCAGAGAGCCCTCAGGCTTTTGGAGAATTAGTAAAAAGTGGACATGGGCAGAATGTAAATGTAAAGTTGAAGAGCTTGTTCAGCAAGATGGTGAGTTGTAGTTTCCTGTAACCATAGTATCTTTGCTGAAACAGGACTGTGGTTATGAAGAGTTTGCATTCTTAGCTGCTACAGACTGTGCCAGGAATGGAAGCTAAAGCAGTCAGTGGTGGTGACCACAGCCCCGAAGATGAAACTACACATTAATTTTGCACAAAATTGCTAGTTCTGGCTATTTTCATTACTTATGACGTTTCATTCAAACTAGAAGGATTACATTCCGTTGTGTGTAAAATAACATCTTGAAAATAGACTGAAGAAAACCATTTAGCCCTCAAGCATTTGTACTAACCCACAAAATGTCAGTGCAAACATTTTCTAATATGTTAGTGAAGATACATCCTCTAATATCATCATTCTATACAATTACAAGAGCAAAAAATGGAGGGAATATCCAAAGTGGCACCGAAGGACAAGGACAAAAAGGAAGGAGGAGAAAAAAGATGAGGAGGAGAATGAGGAAAAGCGAGTTTTCATTTGGGAGAAAATTTGGGCTTACATTTATTTATGTAAATATCTTGCCTAATCTGGGAATTAAAAATATGTTAAAGAAAATGGTGAGAGCTTCTTATAAAGATAAGACTGACTACCTTACTGGGCCAATGTGCTATTGAGAATTGACTACCAATAGATTAAAACTGTTTAGCTTTTTTATTTAAAAACTACTCTGTGGGAAATTATACTAACCATTTTAAGAAAAAGTGGATTAAAATTCCAGTAAGAATTTCAGAGTGAAATTTGCCTTCTTTTATTTAGCCTCAGGTTCATCAACGGTCACCTATATAAGCAGTGAGATTTATCACTTCTTTTCTATAACAACTATAACTTATCCCTTGACTTTATACTGAGTATGGATTCAAGATAGAGTTATTAAAATGAATAAATAAGTGAATGAATAGAAATGCTTGAAAAAATAGATCTTAGAAATATGAGTTCTGTAAAAGCTTTGCTAGATCAAATCAATAATCATTTATTTCCACCTGCACCCTATTTTAAAGTTTGTATTTGGGAACCACAAGCAAAAATTTCAGAACTCACCACCCAAGAGGACAGTTAAAATTTGATATTTGTAGGACAAACACTGTATACAAGAAGGACAACATTTTAATGTAATTTATTTGAAATGCTTCCAGAAAAGTTTAAGGCTGTTATACAAAAACATTCATTTCACTAAAACATTCATTGACTTTCTTCCCATGGTCCAACACTTTACAAATCTCTTCTCAACACACTGGCTAAAGTGGCCGATGGCTCCTGCAAAGAATGATTCATTCTTTTCTTCACCATCAAATGACTTTTCTTGGCTTTCCTCTGCTTCTGTCTGCAGAAGCTTCCCTCACTTGCCAAAACAATAATAACCAAGCAGTTTTAAATAAAGTTGTAATAGAAAAAATTCACCAGGTTTAAAATCTATAAATACAGAAATATGTTTTACAGGGTACAATTGACCACAGTATTTTTTGTTTTTGAAAAATAATGAAGTAATATACCTTGTTTTTATATTGATAAATCTTGCCACACAGCTTCTTTGAATGCACATTATATAGGTACATAATAAAATGACAACATTGTATTTACTGCTTTCTTTTCTGTAAACTTGAAAGACACAGAAGATTAAAAAAAACTTTTTTGGCAATAATTTAGAATCATTACTACTAGTGCTGGTGTGGGTATAATTTTGCTCAGGTCATCCTTAGTATTTACACTCACAGGGAGCTTTTCTGCATATTTAGTTAACTTTTTTAAAGGTCTGCACCCCACGCTGCACTGTAAATCAAGACTGGACAAAGAGGTCACTAGTTTGGCTAGCTGATCCTAATTAATTAGAATTAATGAAATTGGCCTCTGGAAAATGTAATTGTGGTTCTAATTACAGCACAAAACCAGAGATAGCAAACTGACGACCCCAAAGCAGAGCAGGAAAACCCAAGGCTCTGGCCTTTCTCAGAGGCACTGGACCATGTTTTTCTCTTTAAATGGTTCCCACAGAAGGTCTTGATGAAGTGCTTCTCATTCCAAATTCTTCCTCTCATATTTCTGTAAACAGCATCACTGACACAGGCATAGTCTCTGTTTCTCGTCATTTCATTCATGCTCTGAAATATGAGTAGACCTAGGGAAATGAAACAAAATGAAGACAGTGCCTTCTCTTTATCCTGGCAGGTTTTCCCAGGCCCTTTGGGTTCTATTCTGATGTTATAGGATAGAAATGGCTAAGGCAAGCCACCAACTATGACAGACACTCCTAGTGCCATGCGCATTTCAGTTAGAGATTCAGAACTGGCAGCTGCTTTTATCCTGGCCCTTTTAAGGTTGGCCTCTATTTCATGTCCTAATAGATTATTGTATTGAACTCGCACAGGATGCAATTACAAGGTTCAGACAATGCTTTCTCCCTTGCAAAATTAAGCCTTCAGAATGTTTTCACAATTTCTGGTTGAATAACATTGAACGAAGTTCACATGCAGGGTTGATCTTTCCCAGTTACCCTAAAATGCCATCCCGATACTTGAGAGAATTCCTTATACCCTGTTTGCAAGACCCTCTAAATTCCATGCCCTCAGCTACCATGTCAAAGAGCTAGAAAAGCACTAGAGAAGTACAGGAGGAAGGATTCTTCAAGCAATCTACATAAAACAGTAGTTTAGAGATCCTTTTTCTTTCTATTTTTTAAAATCCAGCAGGACAATTGAAACTAACTTGTTCAAGTACCTCTCCATCCATTGAGACACTTGTCAAATACGATACAGGGTAACAGTTGCCAGAAATCCAGCTTACACAGATTGATTGGCAGTTACAGTACTAGGAACACAAAGGTACAGATACAAGAGACTGGGCCAACACAGTAACAAAAGTATTAAAAAGTGCTTCTCCAAACCGTTCCACATGTGGAATGCAAATACTGTACACATAAGACACAGGGCAACTTCTAGGAAGGACACATGCTTCTATCAGACATTGCTTTCAACGTGCCTGCTGTTCCCACAGGAAGAGTCTGTCTGTTCCATGCGCTCACAGTCGAGGCTCACCTCACTTGTGTCCATACTACAGTCTGACTCACTGTCTGATTGGTCCATCTGCTCAAGTTTTGTTTCTCCCTGTGGCTCCCTGCTCCTGGTGGTGGGATTCAGGAATGGTCCCTCGGAGTCAAGCACCCCAGCCTGCCCCGCAGCACACAGAACTGTTTCTTTGGCTTGACGAATACAGTTGAGCCACTGCTGTTTGTTGAAGGTGTCATTGGCTTGTAGCGAGTGGGTCTGACTTTGGGATCCATTTTTGAAACTGACTCTGAAGAAGTTTTTAACTAGAAATTAAAAATACATGGAAAAAACAAAAGTCAATGGACAGGTATATACCCAGACACTAACCCCCAGTACCCATGACAGACATCACTGATTACAAAATGTTTCCCACTGATATAGGACAGGGCTTAGTTCCACCTTGCAGCCACCATCGATCAATTTGAGTTGACATAGGTCTAGCTGTCAGTTGCCCTCACTGCTCTCAGGACCCCAACCCATTTACAAATCTCAAATACTCTTATCCAACTGGTATGTGTGTGGGGGGGTTGCTGCACTGACCTGCCAGGAGCAAGCTGATGGCCCACACTCTAAGCCATGCATGCAGCCCTTTCTCTGACCCTGGAGACACAAGATGAAAGTCTGGGGGCCTAAAATATTTTAGGCTTTGTGGACCACATACGTCTCTGTTACTTTTTTCTTTTTTTAAATAACCCTTTGGAAACATAAAAACTATTCTTGGTTTGAGAGCCATATAAAAAGGAGTCATGGGCCGGCCCGTGGCTCACTCCGGAGAGAGTGGGGCTGATAACACCAAGGCCCCGGGTTCGGATCCCATATAGGGATGGCTGGTTCGCTCACTGGGAGAGCGTGGTGCTGACAACACCAAGTCAAGGGTTAAGATCCCCTTACCGGTCATCTTAAAAAAAAAAAAACAAAAAAAACTCAGTCTCATGTTTTAGGGGACCCCAGAGTACTGGTTACTAAGCCTGGCTGTATAACAAAATGTCTTAGAGGAGCTTGTTAAAAATACAGATTCCCAGACCCTATCCTTAGAGAGTCAATAGGTCTAAGGTGGGTCTTATAATAAGCAACCTCAACAAATGCCCCAAGCTAGAGCTTTTCCCAGTTTAAGAAGCTCTTTGTAACATCAAAAGTGCCCATGACTCTCCACATGAGTACCCAATGATTAAGAACACACGTAAAGATAAAGAGATGTTATTAATTTGGTTTCGCTTTAAAATGAAATTACATTTTAATTACACTGACAGGAGCTAGATGAATTTAAAAAATGGTAGTGCACAATATAGAAGACATTATTATAAAACATTATTATAAAAACAACATTAACTGACATTTAATGGGCTCTGCATGCCACATACAAAGCTTGGTTCAAGAATCATCCATGTTCAGTCCCCTTGCACTAACCCTGTAGCCAACAGACTGTGAACCACCACTTCAGATGGCCTAGAGGCTCAGCAACAAAAGGAGAGAGACCCAAATGTTTCACTGCTGGCCATCTTCAGCTGGAAGATAATCCTAGTCCCTTAAATTGAGGCTCCATCTTTTAAGCTTGGGCAAGTGCCTGAACTCTTCTATGTCTCAGTTTCCTTATTCGTAAAATGGGGAAAACATTAAGAACCTACCTTATAAGGTTTTTATGAGGAATAAATATGACAATGAACATAAGTGCTTATACAATGCCTTACACATAGTCAGTACTCAAAAAATATAAGCTCTTATTTCTACTACTCCTACTAGTGTGGAGGGATTGATGAGTTGGTAAGAGGCAGTACATACTAATTACTTCGACAACATAATGCCTCTGTTAACCCAAGAAGTTCAAATGCTACTTTCTCAAAGAAGACTTCTCTATTGCACCTAAAACAGACCTTCTGCTGCTCTACCCCTGTATTCCCTTACTGGGTTTTAGTTTTCTTAACTGCACCTGGAATATTTTTGTTTATCATTTATCTTATCCATCACAGTGTAAGCTCCACAGTGGCAAGGAACTTAACTGATTGGTTCACCACTCTATACTAGTGCCTAGAACAGTGCTCTACACATGGAAGATACTCCACAGACATTCCTATGTTAGCTTTTCTCGGTTAATTTCCTTGTTTATTAAGTCTCAAGTTACAAAAGCCCATTTGAGTAATGTTACAGATGAACCCTCATTCCAGTTGACCATTCTTATATCCTTTAGAGACAAGTCTGCCAACTCAACTACAAAACCCACCATAATGCAAATGGTTTCCAGATAGGGGCCATCTGGTAATAAGCATGCTTTTCTCCAGAGGAAGAAGACAGAGAAAGGGAGCTTAAGAAGCACAAGCTATGTGCAGACAGGCTCACTTAACAGTATCCTACTTAATCCTTATAAAAACCTTACAAAGGATATATATGCATCTCCACTTTGCAGATGAGAAACTGAGGCTCACAGAGTTTGAACAAGGTTACATCATCAGTAAATGATGAGACAGTACTGGAATGCATGCAGTCTGACTCCAAGACTGTGGCTCTTTTCTTTTGACCAGCTAGCCACTCCCTCCAAATTACCACGACCAAAAAGATTCAACAGGTCAACTGGGAATGCCATCCATACTTCTCTCATTGTTGCTGAATGCCCCGCGAAGGGAGCCTCCCAGCCTCACTTCTCCATCCTGCAGGTCTTCCAGCAAGAGGTCCTTCACGGGGATCGGCTGCCGGTACAACTGGTAGCAGAGCTGCTCATTGTGGGTGACGGCTCGAGTGATCACAAGCACTTCTTGAAACAGGAAGACATGTAGTTTCTAGAAGAAAAGAATCCACAGGATGTCCCTAAGCAACAATCTAATAATGAGTGGTTGAAATGTGGACCTCTGTGGATAGATGTCCCCAGGTACCAGGTACACACCGGATTGTAAACTCCTAGACTCAAGTCTGTCTCCAGGAGAACAGAAATTGGGCACTTCTCATGCATTTCTAGATATATCTATTGCCTTCCCTATTGGAGTGCTTCCCTATGGACTCACTGGAGAAAGCCTTTCTAGCTACAGATATGTGGTGTAGCAGGGCTGCCAATGCCTGGGCCCTATTCACATTGCAATTCACAACCTGTGCACACACACACAACCTCTGGCTCCCATAAGAATAAAATGAGAAGGGAGTAGAATGAAGGGGGTAACGAAGACAGAAAAGTTAGCACTCCCTGGCTTTGGTTTATCTTATCCAATACAATTCTAAGAGATCAAAATTAACAATAGTCTTTAAAGGATGTGACTGACATATCAAAGCCTAATATTAATCTTTGCTTCCCAAACCCATAAAAACACTGTTCCTTCAACCACAGAACTGCTTATCAATTTCATCCAGGAACTCCAACTTGGAACACTGCTCATTCCTGAGGGAACCTGAGCATGCTGCTGTAGCCACAAAGAAAGATGATCAAAATTTTTCTTCTCAGTTAAGTTCATCAGAATCTCTGTTCTCTGAAGACGCTGTGCTTTAAAGGTTGACAACAGATGTGTGTGTTGCGGGCTAAAAGAAAATCTTATGAAGGCTCGTCTCAAACCACATCATGAAAGCAAGTTTGCTGGGTGAAGCTATGGTAAATACGCCTTTTCAATTCTAAGTCAGTCTCTTCTCATAGTTTAGAATTGCTTAGGAATTGTAGTGAAGAGATCCATAACTTTGCAGCTAGGTTCCGATTTTCTGGTGGAAACATTTCAGAATGTTCAACCCAGGGGTCTCAAAGGGGAGACCAGAAAGAAGGACAGGGGTGGAAACTTGGATTAGTCTTGATTTGTGGCAGGGGAAGCACATTCAGCATTATCAGATAATTTTATATTTGGGTGAAAATAAACCGTAGGTCTTCACCCCCTTCCTGCCACACACAACAAAAATGGCATAAATATGGGCCAAGCCAGTGGCGCACTCAGGAGAGTGCGGCGCTGAGAGCGCTGCGCTCCCGCCGTGGGTTTGGATCCTATATAGGGATGACCGGGGCGCTCACAGTGCTCACTGGCTGAGCGCGATGCGGCCAGTCTCAAAAAGGACAAAAAAAAATGGCATAAATATAAACTCAACCAAATCTTGAGTTTAAAAGATTGAATGGTGGAAATAAAATGTGTACTTTAAAAGACTGAAAAACAAAGTAAAACACAAAATAATCAAGTTTGAATTGGCGGAAAGAATGTGTTAAGAATTTTCTTTTGGGTTACAGCTAGACAGGAAAAATAAGTTCTAGTGGTGTACAGTAGTGCTAGGCATCTATAATTAACAATAATTTATTGTATGTTCTCAAATGGCTAGAAGAGAGGAGATCAAATATTCTCATCACAAAGAAATGATACATTTTTGCGATGATGAATATGTTAACCACCCTGATTTGACCATCACACATTACATGTATACATGTATTGAAATATATCTCTGTACCCCATAAATATGTACAGCAATACGTTTCAAATAAAAAAATAAATAAATTCCTTTAAAAAAAAGAATTTTCTTTTGGGGGTAGGAGAGGGAAAAGGTTGATCATTGTTTTATGTACTTAAAATAATTGGAGATTTTTATACTATTCCTACTTCAGTCAATCTCCTAGCCAAGGTAGGCAGCATGAACTCAGATTGTCTGGACAGCCTTTTCAAAATATCCCTTACTTATGAATGCTCGCCAAGAATTTCTCTTATCAGTCTCAGCTCATTTTTTCCTCCAACTACCACACTCTTTTTGCAACAGAGGACTTTGTTCACAAGGACCTTCACAACTCTTCTGGGAGGAGAACAACAAACCTCTCATCACAACTACTGTCTTCTCAAAAATCTGCCTGCAATAAGAACTAGAGTTCACGTTTAATGTCCTAGACACATCCAACCACAGAGTCCTCAGTCCTTGACTGGTGTACAGAAAGAGGATGGGGGATGTTAACTGTTCTGTATTTGTTTTTGAAGGTCATGATCAAACAAAATAAAAAGCTGGCAACCTATGCTGATTTTAAAATTCTTTCTGAATATGTACTGGTCCATGACATTAAGCATTTTTTTAAAAAAATGAATGGAAAAAAGAAATCCATGTTCCTGTGAGGTAAAAACCCTGGAAAAGTAGTTTTTCTTTGAAAGAACATGACCCTAGATAGGAATAGTAAAAAGAGGCTCAGCATCAAATGGATTAGGATTGGGAGAGCCTGGGATGAGACTGTTCAAGGAGAGTAACCACTTACCACGCCTCTGTTGTTCTTCAGTTCACCATGACAACATAAGACTCGTGAGCTGTCGATCAGGGAGTCTTTCTGGCCTTCTTCCAGGTAAAGAAGCCGCTCTTTATAATAGCGGCATTCAGATTCCCCAGTCTTGGTGTTGATTTCTGCCACGATTCCCTGAATGATGTTTATCTACGGAAACAAAGAGGAAGATAAGTGTGGGGGAAAGTAAGCAAACCATCCATACCAGCAAGTCTTAGGGGCTCAGCCTTGAAGGTCACCAAGCAAGACACACCTGGATCTAATTCTGAGATTCTATTATTTAAGTTGGTGCTTTGGAAAAAGGAAAAAATAAATATATGCCTTTAATATACAGTATCTATCTATCCATCTATACACATATATGCACACACACATATATATACTTATTTGTACACATATACCATTATTTGTATTATATATAAAACTAATATGGATGCATAATTTTATCTGAGAGGAAGAGATAAAAGGTACAGTCTTTGATGTGCGAGACTCAGCTATCAAGCTTCATGTTGCACATTTCTTAAAACACGCTCATGATGTTGAAAATGTAGGCATATAAAAATTTGGCCAAGGAAAGAAAAACAATACAGAATGTAGGAATCCAAAAAAGGGTTGTCTCTGGGGATTTGAAAGCTAGTTTCAAGGTCTATCTACATGTACTCAATCTAATGTACAAACAGTATTTGCAAATTTGGTGTAAACAGTTTTTATATCTTTTTAGTGACAAAGGAAATGTTTTATAAAGGGCAGAGAAAAAAGAACGGAAAGAAAAGACACTAGGAGTAATGATAGGGACAGTTTATGCCCATGTCTATAGCACACGTGACTAAGTTCGGAGCAGAGAGATTTCAAAGCAATGGTGGATGCAATGCCATTAATACAAAAAAAAAATGGCAAAACAAAACAACAAGAGTACTGTACTGAGATATGATCAGTGGACATTTATTCCAATATGTGGTTATTCTATTACATGGATAATATGTCTAAATTAGAAAATACTAGAAAACATAGGAATGAGAAATTAGTTGAGCAAAACTCAATGACACTAATCAAAACCAAAGTGATGACTTCACCAGCAGGGTCCTCTAATATTGAAAAGGCCAGCAGTCCCATCTTTCTCGTGGTGGTAACTGAAAAGAACCCAACAGATGGGAAATGTTGATAAGGACTCCTCTTGATCATATTTACTTAACAGAAAAACCAATCCCTGTGAAAAGCAAGGTTCTGAAAGAGGCCTTCACTCAGTCAGAAGCTACCAGATCTTGGGCCGGCCCCGTGGCGCACTCAGGAGAGTGCAGCACTTGGGTGCACAGCGGCACGCCCACCGCGGGTTCGGATCCTGTATAGGGATGGCCAGTGAGCTCACTGGCTGAGCACGGTGCAGGCGACACCAAGCCAAGGGTTGCGATCCCCTTACCGGT